GATTTATCTTGGATTGTCAAGAAGGACCAGCAGTTGTTCAAACAAAGCATGAGGAATCTGTTGAAGATCAAGAAACGTCAAATAAAACAGGCGGAGGCAATATTATTGAAATCTCGTCGGAAGAGGAATGGGTTGAGGAAGATGACATCGCATGTTGCGATAACACAACACGAACAGACAGATGCGCAGAACTGAAATTAGACAATTCGGTAACTATACTTGATAAAAACGATATTTTAAAAATGTTTTGTATAGCTTTAATAAATAACATAATAAATAAATAATTTTAGGAACTACTGTGTTTTAATAAAGAGCTTAGACGCGGGTTTGACATATACCATGTTATACATTCAGGAAAACCAACACACAGCATTTGGTACAATCAAAAGGAAACCCGTTGTGACGCCCTCGATTTATGTACAAAAACTCATACCATATGTAAGTACTTTGACGGGTAAGAGTCGGAATATAGTGGAACCTTGCACACACATTGCATCCTCGCCTCATACGTACTGGAAAGAGCAGAGAGATCACCTGAAGGGGAACAGCTCAGAATCAGAAGGGCCTTCTTTAGAGCACGCCAATACCTCTGCAAGGGATGTGCCGACATTAACAGGAAACGCTACGGACACCACTGCACGACCTGTAACTCGCAAATTACGGTTAAGCACGTTAATACCCCTTCTTACTACAAGAATAGTGTTATCTACGTGCTTAAGCGTGATTAGCTACGTTAAGGCACATATTACATTCGACGTAGACAATATACAAGAAGAGACAACAATAACTCAACGACAGCCACTTAAAGCACAACTGAAACAAAATTTTGCAAATTACTTATTCACACACAACATAATGAATTCAAGACAATACGATGACGAGTTATCCAAAAGTGAGAAGTTACGTAAACTTGAATTTACTATACAACTAAAAGACCTAGAAATAATAAAAAAGACAATATTTCGACAAATATACCTTAAACAAAGAAACGTTGACGTACTGACACCAAGAATAGTTGTTTCTAATAATAAATCTCGTTTAGGTGCACTCATGTTTTTTCTATCAAACATAGCTCTACAAAACCAGGTCTCCGTCAAAAGGTTAAAGCAATTACTTTGCAATTTCATCTTCAACCTTCACCACAAGAAAAGAGGACTCATTCTTTGCGGACCGTCTGATTCTGGTAAGACCTTTCTAGCTGATTTACTTTATTCTTCTTTTAAACCTCACGAGATTGGCTATTTCAACTGTCCTACTGGCCCAAACCCATCATCATTCTTATTACAAGCCTTAAGTAATTGCTTAGCTTATAGATGTGACGAGATGGTTTTTGAGCACCTAGGCGTGATATAATTAATGAAGCAGCTATTGGAAGGGTCAAGTACACTTACAACAGATGTTAAATACAAGGACGCAATGCCTATCGATCCACATTCAACTCTTATCACAATGAACTCTTCTTCTAAATTCGACATACTAAAATGGCATCCGTCCGAGTATCAAGCATTTGAAAATAGGTGTACGATACTTTTCCTGGGAACACCGCTACTCAACATATTTAATGACAAGGAACTCAGGGAAATAAATACCTGTGGTCCAGAGTTATTATATTTGCTGAGTATGCATAAACAGGACAAAGACTACGACACTGCAGGGGTATTGGACAAATTTCAAGATTACATATTTTTGTAAATAATTTTTTATTAATATACATAATTTACATTATCTTTTGTTTTTTATCTGCGGGTTCGTTGTTTTCAATATTCTCAGCTTTACCAACAAACATAGTAGAAAAGGCAGGATAAAATATCTTCTGATAACAATTTAAAAATGTTCTTTTAGCATTACTTTTAATACAAGGATTGGCCATTGTAACGGTAGTATAAGTAGCATCTTTACCAAAACGTGATTGTTTAATAGTAGGACGTTTATACAAATCATTAACAGGATCAACACGTGTTTGATCATACGTCCAATCGCGCTCAAATATTTGAATACGATGTCTTAAACGTAGACGACCTCTAACAGTAGTAGGCATAACATCTTTACCAATATAAGCAGGATCAATACAAAAATATAAACGTTTACAATTTTTATTCCCAGAAAACGGCATAACAGTAGGTAAATTATTCCAATAAGTATTATTAATAGAACCAACAAACTTATCACCAGGGCTAACATCATAATTAGAACGATTTTTAAATTATACAGAAGAGTGATCAAATTCATCATAAGGTTGCAAATAAACATCAAAACATTGTTCAATATTATAAGGATCACGGGAATCAGCACAATAAGGTGTAATAGCATTATAAATACAACACAAATTACCAGTATTATACTGTTCATTAGGAGAAATACCCTGCCTCTGTAAATACCATCTACCTAATTGTACAGGGTATCGTTTCTTTTTACGCCTATCATCACCTTCTGAAATTATAGAACGTGCAATAAGATTTTTAAGTCAATAATTTGGCATATGAACATGACCAAAACGATAATCACAAGGATAAGTATTAACAATATTCTATGTCTCATCAAAAAATCCATTAACTTTCTGACGTTCAATAGAAGCTTTAGAATCAATAAACTGACCACCTGGATCCAAGGAAGTATCGGTAAATTTAAATGACCTACTAGAATATGGATTATTAAGTAACAACTAAATAGGCTTACGTAAACCAACATCATTTTTCCAAACAATACTATGAATAACCTTCTCTGCAACATTATTCTTTTCAAAAAATCTAGGATCCTTAGTATTAACTACATTAGCAAATCGTGTAGTAACAGGTTTAACATCTTTATCATTAAAAAACAAGGAATTCTCCAGTAGGCAAAGGAGACGGTTTCTTATCATTAGATGTAAACTTTAAATTATATATATTTTAGCATAATCATCCGAATCAGCCAAAGGATACATAACATCAGATATAAGCTGATCACCTTCAATATCAAAAAATCTTAAACCAATATTAGACATCTCCAATGGCACAGACGAATTTTGAGTAGTTTTAAGTTGATTTTCAACACGAACATCCATAACATCACATTCAACAGATTTATCAACATAATAAATACCACCAGAGGCCATAAAATATTGATCGGTATCAGTCCACGAATTAGGATAATCAACAGGAAAATAATAAATATTCTGAACAGTATCATTAGTACATTCAGCATACCAATAAATAGATTTCTCAACACAGAATTCATCATAATAACCTTTACTGCAATCAAACCCTCTTTCTATAACGAAATCGGGTGATGCGCTGACTTCGTGATTCGGGGGTTGCTCTGCCATTAATTACGTGATAACCTCTCTGCGACCAACCTTTTCTTCCTTTTGGATGAACGAATATTCTTCTGTGTGTCCGCACCATAGGCAGCTGCTACATCAAATGAATAATTACCAAACAACTTCTCTAATATAGTCTGACTCTCCTTCATAACACTCCATGGCATTGCATATTTAGGTAGTTCATCATAAAACTTAGGAAATTGATAAGGTTCAAAACTATATTTATGTAACTATTTAGCGATTTTGGCTTCCTTAATATAAGGAATCTCTTTAGGATCGTAAATATCAACTTGTCCGGGTTTAAGTCTCATATAATCAGGTAAATCATCTTGCGGTACAGGTTGATAATCAGGATCATAATTCCAACCTTCAACACTTTCAGACACCGTACTCATGTCAGTTACATTACCTACTTTAGTTGAATTAGAATAAACAGAACTAGTATTGGACGTACTAGAACGAGACCAATCAGAATCAGAATACAACATATCTTCAAATATATTAGTAGGTCTTGTTTTACCCATTTCCTTTAAAGCTATATACTCGGTTTTACTAATATTATTCTTAGGTAACAAAGCTGACTTCAATATCTTACAAACATTAGGCATATGCATATAAGGTACGGTCTCCTTAGCTAACCCAGCCACAGCCTTAACACTTTTAACAGCATTAATAACACTTTTAGGATTAATAGCACCAGTTAAACCTGTAACAACTGATTCAGCAATACGCGCAACTTCCTTATTCCTAAAGTTTTTTTCGTTAACACCAAATATCTGATTATCCCATCCAGGAGCAAAAAAAAAAGAACTTTAATTTATTAAAAGTTATTATTAATTTCGACAATAGGTTCTTAAATTTTTTTATTTTTATAAAAGTTAAAAAACTCAAAGGAGGAGATAATTTTGCTATTTTGCGCGGTGATTTTTATAGAGCTTAAATCACTTCAGAACTTTTGGTTTAAATTGAATTAAAAACTCTTTGGAAATTTTGATATTTTCCGAATTTTTTTAGCTAAATTTAGAGTAGTGTAAGTTATAGACGAACCTTATTAGGTATAACTAAGCGGTATTCCTGCATTTCCTTTTAGCGAAACTTAGCAAGTACTTTTAATATTCATGATATTGTATACCGAAACACAAAACAAGGGCGGATCTATTTAATTGTGTGTGTGAGGAGGGGGGGGGGGAAGAGGGATCGCAAGGGTTAGGGTTAGAAATCAAAAACATTTAAAAATCGCCCTCTTACTGATGGTCTGGATTCACCGTTAACACAAAAAGAATTGTAATTTAGGCGTATAAAAAGTCAACACACACACATATATATATATATATGTATATATATATATATATATATATATATATATATATATATATATATATATATATATATATATATATATATATATATATATATATATATATATATATATATTTAACTATAATGTATATAATATAATCTATGTTTCTTTATACATATTATATTATTTATAACATATATTTTCTTAACTATAATATATATAATATAACCTTAGTTATCAAACACAAATAATTAACAATTACACAAAAACCTTTAACAATTAAAAATTAAATTATATCAAAATTAAAAATATCAGATATAACTTTATAATAATAAACCGACAAGTTTATGTCCTAATTCATTATTTTTATGAGTTGAGAGCGTTAAAAATTAGGCAAATATAAAATACGGAATGCGAAAATTTTAAATGAGGTTCAAATACTAAAAAAAACTCAAATAATCAAGACAAAGAAGAGGATTTGAACAAAATTAAAATACATTTATAAAATAAAAAAGTTTAAAAATTGTTACTTAATTGAAGGAAGTTTGCCTAAACATAATCGTGATCCATACAAACTTCATTGGATGTTATAACAACTTGATCTGGAATAAATAAATATTTATGGTTTTCATGCCCTCGTCAGGGGCGGATGCAAGATATTTTATGGGTGTTGCCTTGGCTTCTTAAGTTCATAAATTAGAAACTAGACATTACTTGTGTAACTGATTTAACGAAGTGCACCTAAGAGAAGGTAAGCCATAGGACTTTGCATTTAATCTGCAAATTATCATGTGGCCTAATGTCATGTGGGTTAAAATATCAAGTGGCCCAATATCATGTGGGTTATTTCAGCTTTATTTAAAGCGTTTCGAAGCACTACCGAGGAGAGCTAGTTTCTCAAAACATGATAAAGAATGTTTTGAGAAAACAGAATGTTTTTTTTTAAAGGCAATACATAATTTTTTAAGAACTTACATATAAATATTCGTATACTATAAATTACAATATAGTAATTTTCATATAATGAAAGGGTTTATTTATAAATTGTTGAAATATTATGGGTGAAACATGGGCATAATAGGATAGCCCCCAGATCCCTGGGCATTAAAAGACACTAATTTAAAAATATAGTCTAAAAAAGAAGAAAACAGACTCTTGCCATATTTGGCTAAGCACAACACAAAATGTATTCAAATGCTGAAATGATATATAACGAAGATGGCATACTATAGGCTTTAACTATACTTGTTGTGTCCATTGTTTACAATTACCCTGAAGATTATTACAAAGGTGACATGAAAAAGCTTCAGTTACAGCTAGAGTGAAAGTTCTTGTATATTGGAGAAAATCGGGTAATTCGAATCCTATCTATGCAGGCATGGATGCAATGAACACGGATGCTAAAACATGATTAGGAATAAGATGAAGATAATAAATGCATCATTTATAAACATAAAACAGCTAATTATTAATTGTAATTGTAATGGTAATCCTTTAATTTATTACCATAAAGTATTGATAAATCTAATATCACATTAACACACAGACAATAACAAATAAACAAATAGTTCATTAAAAGAAAAGAAAAAAAAATACTAACCTGCATCAGAACAAGAAGCAGACTGAACATCTTACAAATTTAATTCGTTTACGTTTGAGTTTGATTTTCTCACTGGTTGAAATTCACAATCTAAAAAGTATTTTTTTTTTAATTATCTAAAAAAGCAACAGCTTTATACAAATTTAACAAAGAAATGATATAAATGACAGATGTCCTTATCATGACATGAAATTGATCTTTCAGTTCTGATGTAAAACAAGTTAATACCAGGAAAACAATCAGGTTTTATAATTAACTCCTTCATAGTGTCAAAGAAAGGTCTTTATAGAAACCTGTGGAAACCTATTAAAACAAAGTTTTGTGTTTATGTTTCCTGAACATTAAACTTAAAAATAAATAAAACTACCTATTTCTGTTGATAATAATTCAGTATTAGCAAACATAGAAGACTCGATTAAGTCGCTATTAACTTCCGTTGCTAAATTGTAAACAAAAATCGAATACAAAATTAAATGTAGAGTTATTTAGAAAAGTAAAAGAAAAACTGTAATGACTTACAACATAAATGTGTTTCAAATGAATTGTATTCCATATGCAATAAACCTTTAAAAGAAGCATATTGTTTGAATTGTTTTAAATAATAAAATATAAAACTATTTTATTTCTTTTAATGTTTTTGATAAATAAATTTGAAAGCAAGTTAATTCAAGCAGAATTTTCTAATTTTCTAATAAATATAACAGTATCTACTAAAATAATAAACTTATCAATTATATAAACAGTATTATAGACTATTTATATATTATAAAATAAAATTCCAAAACCATGCAACCCTGCAAATTATTGAGCTAGTACACCTCAGAGCCACAAAGACATAAGACAAACTAATCACAGAGAGATACTTCAATGTGAAAAATACAGCAATTTTTTTACTGCAATCGGACAATCAATGACAATCAATAATTTTAAAGTTTTAAAAGAATTTCATCGAATCGCTGTATTGATTGATTATGAAATACGTAAAAGAACTTTTAATTTTATAGACGAAGAACTTTTAGAAAGTTTAGTTTGAGAATAAAAATAAAATTTTTACATTCAATATATTGTCTCTTTCTTTTTTTATATTATGTTAACATTCCAATACATCTTTTTGAAAATATAATCCTTTAACTAATCCTTCACAATAATAACACAATTGTTTCACTACCAATTTTAAACTGTTTACATAGTTTATTTATTTATACAATGTTTTTAACTCAATAAGACAATGTTCAATGACTTCTCTATAGTTATGACAACACGTGTCGGAATAAAATACGCGAGCCGGAAGACATTCAAATAACATATCAAGAACTTTATTAACTCTATTTGATACGTCTTTATAATTTTCGTATCTTTAATGTAAAAACAGTAAACTCTTTTACAAGTATCCAATTCGCTTTCTTCGGCTAAGAGAACTTTATCCATCCAAATACCTAGATTTAAATGCATTTCCTGTAAATATTTTTTTAAATCTAAATTGAGCTGATATAAATATAATAAACAATCGTCCGTCGCATTAAAAGTCATTTTGATAAATGATTTTTTTATTATAATATACTAATTATATACTAATATATACAAATATATACAAATATATACAATTTATAAGCAATAACAGCAACCACGACAACGTAATAATTATAATTATTTATAATTATTACGTTGTAATAATTATAAATAATTATAAAAAGAATTATTTGTCGTGGTTACGTAATAACGTAACCACGACAAGTAATTCTTGTATGTGGACAAACGTTACTATTGCAGCAATGATTATGCACACTGTCATGGTCACATAAACAACAGCCAAAACATATAACACGTCGTGGCGTGCCAAACTCGTTATTTTTACGTTCTATAAATCTATTTATGATATTATATAATATTCACACTTGATCTAAAAAACTACTAGATCTTAAAAAAATACCATGTTTATAAAGATAACATTTAACAGTTTATAAATTTACCGTCATCTATTTCTGAAATGTCATCAAATAATTTAATTCGTTATTATACATTTCTTGATCTTGACTCTCGAGTGGTCTTGTTTCAACCACTCGAGAAATATAAATTTGAGGTTTTTTATACGTATTTTCCGGAACATAGGGTTTAACAATCTAGAAAAAACACATACACTTAAAAAAGGTTAAATATAAAACATTTAATAAACTTACAGCTACAGGTTTTACAAACAGGTTACGTTTTACTTTGTTTTTTTAATTTTATGAAATTTTTTTATTAACTTTTGGCATTTTTTATAAACTCTTATTAACCTTTCACAAAGTATGTGTTATAATTTGACAAAATGTTTTTTTATATTTTGTTTTTGTATAGCCAGATTAACTATACACAAAAAAAGAGATTAACATTTTTTTAAAAGATTAAAAAAAAAAAGATTATGACGCGATGGTTGGGAAGGAGGGAATATGATAACTTGATTTTGCGACACGGGTATATCATCATAGACGCTTTTTCAAAAGCAGCCGTAGTAACAAGAGGTACTTTTAAAGTTGGGGAAAAAATAGATTTAGTTTGATCGCAATAAACCAAAACTTCGATAGATGTTTCTGAATTGTATTAAGCAATCAATGTCCAATCTGCCGTTATTATTTTATAAATGTCTTCGGGTAAATTAGGAGATGTAGTCAACGTGTTGAGTAAACCAAATTGAGTATGATACGATGACATTTGGTTTCCTTTTATTTCAAAAAATTGTTATATATATTTGTTAGGGCGATCATAGCTTCAGCAATTCTTATTAAAGTCACCATTTAACCTAATTTCGAAAATATTTCGTTCAAAAGAAGGTAAACATCAAAATGAGCAATAACTTTTAGTATCGTCGTTAGGTGTGGATGAAAAACTGTATTAAGAAATTTTTGATAAGAGTAGACATTTGTACCTTCATAAACAAATTCGTTAAGAGTAAGGTTATTTAAATTTAAATTAAGTAAATTGTTTGGAAAGTTGAAATTTACACTTTCAGTAAAAATATCCATCATTTTTAATTTGCGTTTAGGCCATATGATTTGATCAACATTAAAAAAGGTATAAGTAAAAAGCTAGCGGTCAGGCTTAGTCGGGAAGCAGGGCGATCGGACTCAATATTTGACCACGGAAATTATATTTAGTTGCGAAAAGCCGGCCAGATTTTTTAGGCGTTTTGAGAACATTTCAAAAACAAGCAAAAAGCGCAATAAGATAAACTGGACCGATGAGAGCTTTTAACGCGAAAAAACTTCAAAAGCAATATAAATACGATTAGAGCATATATTTTTGAAACGTCGCCCTTTTATAATAATAAAAAAAAAATTATAAAAGATATTTATTTTTTATATATAGTAACAATTTACTAATAATGATTGTTTAATTAAGAATCAAATGTTCTTTAATTTATTAAAGATTTTATATAATTTTTATTTATATACTAATGTCTTATTTCCAGTATTGTAAATAAGAGGTGATGGGGGAGGGGGGAGGGTAGAAGAGCTATAGTCCCTGGACACACAATGTTATGGGCCGAGAAATAGTCAAGAGGACCTATCGGTATGTTTTTAGCCATTTTTACGCTGTGGCACATAAAAAAGGCCACCAAAATAATGCAGCCCCCGTCCCTGAAAAGTTTGGAAAGATTACACCAATAAAACTAACGCTACATAATTTATTTATAAACAAAAAAAGTTTTTTCATTACCTGTTTTATGCTTCGCGTAGTTTGAAAAGTTTAACACATTTGAAACAAATCTTCTTAGTAAGATGAACAAATGAAATAATTAAATCATTGAGTTACTGTGGAAATTTAATTAGCTGGATAGAAATTAACTAAAAACGTTAAATTATTTTGTAAGGAGGAAACGGAACTGCTTAACAATACCGCTGATGATGTTTAGTGAGTTGGCTTTATATCTTTTACTTGTATTTAAAACAGAAAAAAGTAACTTTAAGTTTAAAAGTATAACGAGTTTGAAAGAATAACTGAAGCAATAATAATTGAAGTTAACAAACCAATTTCTAAGAACTTAATAACTTTTCTTTCTTGGGGGAGAGAATCAGTTATCGGGTACACTGAGGAAAACGGATTAGTGGTTTAAATATAATGTAAGACATGTGCCAAGCACAAATCAGCTATTTTACAAGATCTTTTAGTTAAAGGAGCGTTGAATTATTCGTTTACAGATGGTACTTGTGTGGTGAAAAAATATTAGGTAAAATTAAAATAATTTACTTAATCTTTATTTGCCTAATATAAAAATCATTTAAATATAATTGTTACTAATAAATTTAGTTATTTTACTGTTTCATTAAAAGTATTATATATAAAGTATTATTTAATGTGCCGTGAATTTATTTTTTGAGTTATTGCATTACGTTATGAACCAACTTTTTTCTAAATTATTGATATTATTCATGATTTTTTAAAAATAATGATAAAGGTTGATCGCCATCTTAAAGGATCAACAATTCATAGGTTAGCGGTACAAATTGAAAATGGGTACTCTGAAGATCCTGAAAGTAGTCGAGTCACCGATCTCGATATAGAAAACTCGGTACCACAAGACAACCGCGATGCGTTATCAAAAATGTTAAGAACTGCCTATGAAATGGCTCTAGTAAAATGTCACTAGTGACATTTTATTGACTAGAGACGCTAATAAAATGTCAAAGAATTAATGGTGTAATTCTTTTAGAAGGAAAATGCAACAATGCTTGATTTTGTGCAACAATAAAATTGATTTTTAGGGTTTAGTTTGATATTTACTAATATAATTCAAATTAAAAAATCAAATTAAAGTTACTATTATAATGGAATTTTTAACTTTTTATTTTTAAAGGCTATTTAAGGTAACTATGCAAAATGATAATGGTCTTATCATTTTGGTTAATTTTTTTTTTAATGTGGAAAGTGATTAAAATTTTTTCTTGACTAAATGCTTTTTAGTTTTTTTAATTTTATTTTTCATCACGTGAATATATCTCCTCCATTGCCAGTGCCATGAAAGCGAAAATTTTTTAACATATTAATGATAAAAGCTTTTTCTCCTATCTCTCCGATGGTTCACAGGCAAGAAAAACAAAGGATGAAAAAGAGCTGATTCTTGTGCACGTTAAACGCGAGGGGACCCCAGCCTACTTTGTAGTATCATTATTTGATATGAACAATTTGAATGGTATGAGTGCTAATAACATGAAAAAGGGCATTGACAGCATTTTTAGTGAATCAGATAATATTCCTAAAGCAACAAAATAATATTCCTAAAGCTTACACGTGCAAACTTAGCGCGACGGCCGATGGAGCAAGCGTCAATTTTGGAATTTATAATGGCGTGTTAACTCAATTAAAAAACGATAGAATGTGGCTGATAAAAATTCACTGCGTAAAACATCGTTTAGAATTAGCTGTAAAAGGTGCTGTAAAAGATATATCGCAGATTAAAGAGTTTGAACGCTTTTATATTTCCAATTTTAGTATATTTCGCAATTCTGGAAAATTAAAAAGCGCAGTTAAAAAAGCTGTTAAAATTTTGAAAATCACATACTACACCTTGCCAAAAATATCGGGAACGCGCTTTATCAGTCATAGGAAATGCGGCTTTACAAAG